ACTTGGACGGAGGCATGAAGAAATTCCTTCGTCCACAATTTCTCCATGTGGACGAAGGAATTTCTTCATGCCTCCGTCCAAGTATGGAGGCATGGAGAAATTCCTCCGTCCAAGGAATTTCTCCATGTGGACGGAGGAATTTCTCCTTGCCTCCGTCCAGTGCATTTCTCCATGCCTCCGTCCTTACCCTTTCCAAGGACAGAGGCAAGGAGAAATTCCTCCGTACAGTGCATTTCTCCATGCCTCCGTCCTTGCCCTTTCCTACTCCTATACCCGATTTCTACACACTTGCCAAGACCTGGGCCGAACATACGACTTCTTCTACCCTATGGAACTGGTGGCTTCCACTCCAAAATCGACCTCTATACCACCGCATAAACCACAGGATCTCCACACCACCACCATCTCCTCATCCCACTCTACAATCTCATACCAAAAAACAGCACTAATGGATCTAAAATATGATCAAATCCTGACCCAAAAACTCATCTCTATGCACGGCCATATCTCCAATTCCTGCCAAAATTGCAACACCAATGACCAAACTCCATCACATACCGTTTATACAACCCAAGACGAGCAGTTTCATGGTCACGTATCATCAGGAAACGTTTTAAATCAGAAAACCACCCCTATCAGTTTGAAGGCAGCAAACTACGCACCTTCTTCCCCAAATTCTGGCGCCGACGATTCAAAACATGGTCGCGGGCTACCACTCTTGGCTTTGACACATCATGGGGAATAAGATGCACATATGGGTCTTCATCAATTTCCTTCTAATCAACCAATTGCAGTTCATAGGCATGGTATCCCTCTTCAAACTCTTTCAATTAGCCATCAAATCTGTTCCAATTTGAAAATCAATAAGGTGGAACTGAAATTCATCATCAAACGACCATGACCATGCATCCTTGCATCTATTTTTTAGCTAGCGCGATTTCTGTCAGGTATGATTTTTTTTAATTTTTTGATTTTGTTGAGTTATTTTTATTGCTTTTGTTATGGTTTCTTTGCATTTCTATGTTTTGGAGAATGTGGTGGTCCCACAAAATTGTTATCTACGTGATAGGAAACATTTAATCTCAATTTCTGAGGCTTGTATATGCAGGATAACTAAAATTGGGATGTCCGTTAGATTTAAAATTTTGGCCTTTTCTAAATTGGTCAGAAATGTGAATAATGAATGGACTTAATTGGTCAGAAACATTTGAGTTTCACTAGGTTGATTTTGATTGGATTTAACTTATGCAGGTAGGAACAAGGCTGGGCGATGCTTTTCTTCACCAATTGCCACATGCTTTTGGTATGTATGCGAAACAAGCTAATGCCCATATTTTTTAATTTATTTATTATAACAAGTTTTTTTTCCTCTACTCGTGATCTTAAAGTTTTTCTTTTTAGTTGTTTAAATCTGGAATTTGTTGAGCCTGTATTCTAATTTCGTTCCGTTGCATAAATAAAGTTTTGGTTAATGAATATATTCTTCTTCATATGGCGTAATAAACTTTGCACAGCACTGAATATTTTGTTGATGGAATGTATCGGAATTGTTCTATTCCCTTGGCCATTAATTACGTTGTAATATTTATTTCTTTCCTTTTCTTCGATGATGTGAGTAGAGATTGCAGGGGGCATGGATAATGTAACATTTTTGGTAATTTTGATTTGAATGCATATAGACCAGCATTTGTTAGTGAGATTTAAGGAAATTTTAATTTTGTCATTGGCTGATGTTAGTCTAAATCTTTTGATTTTAACTTATACCTACATTATTGGTACTTGATATGATAAAACGGAAGCCAGATTTAAGGAAAATGTAGTTCATTGCTGCCAATGATCATCTATTGATGATCATATTTGTCTTCTCGGATAACCACACCTGCTCAAGTATCCTCAATGGAACTAATCTTTTCTGATCTCTGCAGTTTATTATTTTCTTGCCTTTTTTTTTTTTGGCTTTGTGACTATGTTAAATATTATGAATTTATGATCTTGTGGATAATTCTATTTTGTTAATTTAGGTGGCATGAATGGCTCTGTAGTTTATGAACCCGACAGACCTGAGAATGCAGGTCTTAAGAAGTTCCTTAAAGATAAAGGGAGTGTTTGGTACTCCATTGCGGCTTTCTCTACCACCTCCGACAGCATTAGACAAATTTGTGATTTTCAAATAATTTAATTTAGCATCCTTCGCCTCCTCAACCACCACATAATAACCAAAGAAATCTTAAGAATAAATATAAAGATCATAATAAAGCTTTAATCAGATGAGGGAAGGGGATGTCTTAATCTCAATTGCTAATTACATTAATAGACGGGCATCTTTAATCATTATGAAAGAAAACTACAATAAATATAAATACAACCTGAAAATTTAATTGTTAATAGGAGTTGCAAACTAACAAGAAAATGAGATGAAGAAATATCCATGGGAATCAATTTCAAGGTAGGTTTTTCCATGGTTGAATGATCTGGGCTTGTAAACTGCAGCTCCAAGCTTGCGTTCTGCTTCAGGTTCTAATTTTCTTAACTAAAACAGCCTCATAAGTTATAAATAATCCCTTAGGATCACTGTATTTCTTGCTGACTAGAGCTTTTATATTTTAAGGTTCAAGTTCTCTAGGTTGGATGGTCATTTAGGATTTTGCATTCTGGTCTTTTCTTATGTAGAGGATTTATTCACCTTCAATTATGTACTTCTAACCAGAAAAGTGAACTTTTTTGGTACTAAAGAGTTTAAAACTAGCCAGTTTATCCATTTCTGGTTAGTTTATGCATACATGATACATGGTAGTTGGTCGAGTTTGAGTATCGTAGGTTAGTCTGGCGATGCTGGCATAATACCATAGGCTGCAGTTTTTAATCAAACCGAGATAGCTTTTGCTCTCATGGATCATGGAGCAAGCATGGTCTGCAAGAATTTCCAAGGCAAGTGATTTTCATATCTTGTACTTCTTCAGTTTGATTGGTTTGTAGGACAGTCTTACGGTTTTGAAACACAGATAAATGTGTTGTTACCTTAATTGTTCCCTTGGGAGTTAGAAATAAATCATCATGTAAATTCATAACCTAACCTCTGTATTGTGCAACCAAGCAAACAACCCCCATACTCTGTCATTTATGCCATTCTGCAAGCAAATATGACCTATTTTTACTTTTTTGCCCGTCTTCTATTAGATAGTGTCTTCTGTAAGTTTCAGTTGGCGTGTTTCACTCATCTTGTCATTCTTGATAGTGATAGCCACAATTGTCGACTAGCTTTCTTCTCAATTTTAATTGAACCGGCTCTTAATAACAATAATAAATAAAGGGTACTGCTATTTCCATCCACATTTTTTATATATCCATCCCACCCTAAGTTCATCCCTAATAAAATTTAAAAATTTTAAAAAATTACTATTTACATCCACGTCATATTCCAATATTGTCCTTGTGATTTATGAAATTCATTAATTTAAATATTATATACATCCACAATAATTTTATGTATTCATCCCATTTGAAATGCATCCCTAACTCTATAGATTCACACAATCCCTAAAACCATAAACTCTTTTAAAACCTAATGAATAAATAAGAACAAAGTTGAACTGATTGAACATTAAATTAACATATATTATCACTAAACGAGAAGCAATAGAAAACAATTATAAGTAGCTCAATAATAATTTATCATGAAATTATTTATAATTGTGGCTAGAGAGAAACACCTTCATGGGGTTCAGTTTTTGGTTGGGCAACAAAAATTTCAAGAATCTATAAACTGATAAACTGTATAAACAATAAAAATGAAACCTTCCTCATTAAAAGATCTTCCATTTTCCAACAAAATGCAATTTTTGATAAATTTAGGTGAACTTCTGCTTTGAAATCAATTATATTACCTACCAAGCCTGCGTTGAGTATATGCAGTGGGGATAGATGTCAAATATATTACCTACCAAACCTGTGTTGAGTATATGTAGTGGGGATAGATGTCTTTCTTAAGTGCATATACATAACCCCATGAAAGCGTGTTGAGTTCATAAATGCTTTTGGTTGTCAAATTTTCACTTCCCTCGTTGTAAGGCGGCTATTTTGCAAAATTTCTGTCTGACAAATTGCAAAAAAAATTTGTTTATATAGGAGCTCAACTGCAGCAAAGACATAAGAACACCAACTCTCAGTTTACAGTCTTACTGATAGAATAGAAGAAAAATCAATGAGATCATCTTCTTCCAAACATGGTGCAGCAGAGAACAATTTAATGTAAGTAAAAATTAGTGGATCAATTTAGAGTTATGTATTTATATTTAATTTTGTTTATGTCTATTTAAGTAAATTTACTAAGGATTTAAAATATAATAAAATTTAATTTTTTAAAAGTGGATGTATATATAAAAAGTGTGGTTATTTAATTTTGTTTATGTCTATTTAAGTAAATTTACATAGAATTTAAAATATAATAAAATTTTGTTTTTAGAAGTGGATGTAAATATAAAAAGTGTGGACGGAAATAGCGGTACCCTAAATAAATAGTCATAACCTCTCAATTATTGAGTTATTTCACAAATATATCTGGTTTCCAATCGATTTTTCCTCCTTTGCACGAGTCCTCAATCTCAACTCTTTTATTTCTACTGATTTCCAGAAATCAGTACTATATTTTGTTCAAGGAGCTGTTACCAAAGTAATAGGTTCCTGGAGCTAACTTGTGGGTTGCTGCTGAGTTTCTGTACCTGTGAAACTGCTTCAAGGACCTGTATTGTTGCTGAGATGATTTTTATCAACCTGCTGGAGCAATAGCAGCCTGATTTATTATTGATTAAGATGGGAATTGTACTATAAGCTGATTTATGTAATGAAACTGAAGCTGTAGTTTGTAAATATGTATTGATTTGCAGAATGTAAGACAATTATTTATGAAATGAAGAACTGACCATAGAATTAAAAAACAATCCGAAGACTGTCGACATGCCTCGAGCTCTCCTAATTTAATCAACCCACTAAATATTTTCCCACCTAATACTCCTACCTCTTCTCTATTTATAAAAATTTTGTAACCAAATCTAATGGAATTTGTTACTATTAATCGCTTCTCAATTCTTTTCTGGAGATTGATAGGGGCCTATCACAAAAGCAGTGATAGTTTTTCTTTTTGTCAGCTTATATTTTAGTACATTTTTGCTTTGATTTATTTCATATTTTCTTGCATGCTTGTAGCTATGAGGGATTCTTTCGTTGGCTATTATGTTAGATAAAAACTTATTGACGTTTCACAATATCATTAATATTTGATATGTAACTATTTTTACAGATTATAAATGGAAGGTGTACTTAAGGGGGGACGGTTACCTAAAGAACCAACCAGCTCAATTCCTACAGTTTCTAACCTCCTATCATGTTAAACTAAAGCAACTGCTAGTGCTGGGGAGCATAGGTTCGATGGGAACGGATATTGTTATTAACTGGTTTCATGTGTCTCTGTCACTCACGTTTTCTCCTCATCTTTAATGTGTTAGGCTGTTTTAGTTAGGGGCATATGCGCTTGGCTGATGGAATGTGGATAAATGTTTTTCAACTGGTTATACTAACTTGGGGAGAGATCATATGGAACATTTGATCACAATTATCACACACATAACTGGCTGTGCATTGATTTTTAATTGTTAAGAAAACTGTCAAAAACGTGAAACAAGGTACA